CGTCAAGTATCTGCAGCTGTGAGCGAGAGAGACACGTGTCTGTACCTGAGAGTCATGAGGAAGATGACCAGGTGTCGGGGCTGCAGCTCATTCGCCGACTGAAGCAGCACTTCATCATATCTGCAAACCATCAGCACACGAGTGTCACACGTCACTATGCTTCAATCACAAATTATAAAGCGGAGAGTCCCGGTCCTTGATTCTGATTGGCTGAGCCGCGTTTAAAGCTGTTGTAAATGACTCTACAAAGTAACATACACCTTTGTTTACATTTGTCTGTTGCTCGGCAACCACTTTGTAGCAACCACAACTGTTTCTGAGGAGCTACATTGTTTGGTGGAAGAATACTGTTTTTATTAATATCATTACACTTTATTTGCTCTGTTTTATTCTGTGAAACCTTACTACGTATATGGAAAAACCGTAATAATAATTTTAATTAAATTTTAATAATACATTTTAATTTTACATTTATTTTGCTTAAATGTTCAAATAAATTGTTGACATGATTATTCATAATTGTATCAAGAAACTGCATGCTGGTCATCATAGATTTAAACATGATTGTTATTAATCATAAAAACAGCACTGGTCAATCTCAGTCGTCCACTCCTAACAGCTCTGCACTGGGACAAGTAATGAATAACTAATGATGGGCCACTGAATCAGAAAAACAACACAACTGCGGTAGTAAAGAGGAGCGCATTATACCACATCTCAAGACATTTCTCAGCTTTCCATCTTGTGTTGGACTCATGCATCTCATCATAAGCCTCCGTTGCAAATTCCAAAACATCATTTTATATGCCGTTATCAGAGAGAGAGAGGTTTCTTTTTACTGGAGTAGAAATAAATGTGACTGCCATTTCCTGTATTCTGGTGGCTTTTATTTAATTTATACTTTTATATATTTATACCACATACCTGGCAAGAACAACTGCACACAGAAGAAACATACTGCGTAAAAATGTCACGACCAAGAGTGCAGCTCTCCCTGAAAACCAGCACGACTGTAAATTTGACACTGATTTTAGTTCAAACAAGTAGTTAATATTAAGTGACTTATATTTTAGTACACTACTGTCAATGTTTTTGCTTGATTTGGTTAAAGTAGCTCCAAACAAAGATCCCAGCAGGACAGTCGCGCATCTCTGAGCATCACACAGTCAATGATTCAGCGGTCCATTCATAAAGACAAGCACTTTCTTCATTCTTGAATGAATCAGTGTCTGAACGAATCGTATGAATGAACGACTCAATGACTCACTCATTAAGACTGTCACCTACTGGCGTTTACTTTCAGATTTAAAAGTAGCTTATCTTTGCATTTTTGCATATTTGTATGTATATATATATATATATATATATATATATATATAAGTGAAATGATTAAGAAAAGTTTTGTTTCATTTGCTGTCGTCAGCTGTAAGGACCTGTAAGGAAGTAACTGAAATGATTTGGCGCAGCGATACGGAACTGTAATGCAACTAATTCACAGCCGTGCATTTTCCTGGAAAATTCCTGCACGCATTAGAACGTCTGTCAGCCAATCAGAATCGAGCAGCTCTGTGGAGTGACAGCATGTGTCACATCAGAGGAGATAAAGCAAACCCTAAAGCCCTCAAACAAACACAACTCAGTGTCCATACCGATACAAACAGCTCTCTGTGTGCAGCGTCACTGAGATCCAGCGCTGACAGACCATGAGAAATATGTGTGATGAAGGTGAAGCTCACCTGAGCAGGTGCTGGAGAACCGAGACGCTTCTGCTGTCCACCAGAGGAGAGACGTCACAGCAGGAGTGCGTCTCACTCGCATGTCTTCTCAGCAAACTGTGAACACAAACATGAACATCTACACGCCTGAAAACACTCATGAGCAGATCATCCACAGTCTGAGCCAGGACTCTCATTCTGACGGCACCCATTCACTGCAGCGCATCCACTGCTGAGACGCTGATGCAATGCTACATTTCTACAAATCTGATGAAGAAACAAACTCTTCTTGGATGGCCTGAGGGCGAGTTCATTCTCAGCACATTTTTAATTTTAAGTGAGAAAACTTTAGAGAGATGAAACTAGCTGACTGACACAACGATCCATTATACAGTTTGGAGTCATTAGACGGAGATATCGTTCAATAAGAAGCACAGACTCCAGAGAGGCGGATTATAAATGTTTGAACATCATAAAACGAGCCACTTTAGTAGTTTTACACTCTTTGTGTGTGTGTATGTGTACCTGCAGAGTCGGGCGTGTGTGTACTGCAGAAACACACCTGTGTCCCCGTGAGCCTGCAGGACTTTGTCCCAATCAAACTTATAGTCAGACATCAGCGGCCCTCTGAAGTCCTGACAAACACATTTGATAAACATCAGCACGCTATAAAACACAATGACAGTCTGAACGTCACCAATATCAACAGGTAATCAAGCATGACCGATCACATGACAATAAATTACACCAATGCAGTCGGTCAGGCTTGTGTTCACAGAGGAACTGGTGTGTGTGTGTGTGTGTGTGTGTGTGTGTGTGTGTGTGTGTGTGTGTGTGTGTGTGT